TCAAGCCTCTGTTATCAGCTCTAAAATGACGTTTAGGAATTTGCAACGGAAGGTTTGGGATGAGGTGCGTAAAAAAATGAGTTCAACCCACACGAGATCTCAGGACGGAAACATGTCAAATGTCTTGAAACAAATGATCTGAACAATGTCTTGATGTGTGGTTGGGACTCCAGGCCGTTAAAATTATTAGAGAAATAATCCACTCCCGAAGTGGTTATGTGGCCACGACTATATGGTCTTTCTCAGTTCTCAAACAAATTAAGAACTATTCGATTTTTATTGACTGAACGCAAGCGCTTATTCCGATAGAAAGCACTGTATCGGTTTCCAATGATTAAGAAATATTTTTGTTTGCTTGGGTGGTAATATTAGGTCTATTATATTAATAGGGAAGGGGGCCCAAAAATGGTAAATCCGACCCTGCCATCTAATGTGTGTTTTGGCAATGTAATGTTGCTGAAATTAAATATGTTATTACCTCTGAGTCAGAGCAGCGATCATGAAAGAGAGAACACAAGCAGACAGCGCTGGAAGCTGCTAATGCTCATCAGTAAATCAGTGGAAAATAAATAGAAATCATGATTCTGTCTGAGCCATGCGTTTTAAAACGAACACTTTCTAGTGTAAATGTAGCCTAACAGATGTGTAAACTGAAGACTATTAGAGCTTTATTAAAACTATTTTGCACTGATTTATTCTGTTGGTTACATTTTGTTCCTTTGTGCAGGAGATGAGTCTTTGAGTTTGTATAAACATCAACAAAATGAAAAATAAAACCAACGTTTTTTTTTTTAGATAATGTAATCTTGTTCAAATTGATTTCATAAAATTGGTATCGAAAAAAGTATCATTCAGGAACCGGTACCGAAGTCAAGGTATCGTATCGGTATTGATATCGAAAAATTTTGAATGATACCTACTGAAGAGTAATAGCTGCTGAAAATGGCATCACAGGAATAAATTACATTTAAACTAGGGCTGGGTTTTGACACAAATTTCACGATTCGATTCTCATTCACAAGCTTTCGATTCGGTTCAATATCGATTATTTTGGATATATATCTGGTATACGTGCAAAATTTTCTGAAGGAAAAAAAAATCTCTTAACCAATGCTGTAAAATATACATGAGTCAGTTGGTACAACATTACTATAATATTGAAGGTTAAAACTGACTTATTTTGTAGGCTATAACTGCTTAAATTACACTTAATGAAGTTTTTATAATACAAGTTACAATTACATAATAATATTTCTACTTCAATTAGTTTTTAAATATAAACATTAAAACGGTGGCTGTCATAAAACAAAAAAACCAGTTATTAGATTTAGGGGGCAATTACTTTTTCACGTAGTGCCAGGCAGGTTTGGACAGCTTTTTTCCCTTAATAAATGAAATCATAATTTCAAAACTGCAGTTTGTATTTACTCAGGTTATCTTTGTGTAATATTACAATTTGTTTGATGATCTGAATCTTTTAAGTGTGACTAATATGCAAACAATTAAAAAAACAGAAACTTTTTCACACCACTGTAATTTTAAATCTGAGACTTTTTCATATTAAAAGTACCAAAGCACAATGCTTATTGCGATATATTGGATGGGAAGTGTCCTTCAATGTCCCATTCATTAACTGAAAACAGGCTAGACTAATCGATTCTTGGGATTTAAGAATCGATATCGTTTCATAAAAATGAGAATCGATTATAATCGAGATATCAATATTTTTTACCCAGCCCTAATTTGAACTGTTTTCTGTTTGAATATTATTTGAAATTATTATAATGTTTCACAATATTGCTGCTTTTATTATATTTTTATTAACTAAATGCAGCTTTGGTGAGCATAAGAGACACTAAAAATATTAATTATTCCAAACTTTTCACTGGTAGTGTATGTGTCACAGTTGAATTTATTTCATTTTTTCTCTCCATACAAGTCCTAAGCCATGCGTGTGTGCTGTTGAAGTTGTTGTAGGGAAAGGGATAGTGTGGGTCAGTGTGTTCCCACAAACGTGGAAGTCTTGGCTGAATTAGGCCAGGTTGCTGTTATAGGTTAAGTCCTTTAGGCAAGATCACTGTAAGCTGGCTAAGAGGCCGGAGGTGACTGGAGTATGTACTGTTCTGCTCTGTTTCTTTGAGAAACAAATAAAAGGGCTCACACACTTTATCATGCTGATATTACCAGATAAGAATCTGATCTGGCTGATGTGAAATGGTGTGTGAAATATATCTTGCATCCTAAGAAATTGCGCAAGTGTTTATTTTACAATCCTGTCATGTAATGTGGCACTGGCTCTGATCCAAACCCTATTTTTTATTTTTGTTTTCCACTTTTCTCCTAAAATAAATTAGCAGTGTTTTTCGCTAAGCGAACACATAACTTAACAATATAAACAGTAATATTTAGGAATCTTTTTTTTATTTTTACCAAAGCGTGTAAAATGTCGTGCTGAGATTTCCGTGACGATTTTCACTAATAAATGGTGTATAAATGGAGAATTTCTGCTTATGTTTTAGCATAATGCATTTAAAAGTTAATGGTCAAACATATCTTTATAACATTTCACAATGTTATTGCAGATGAAATAAATGTTTTCCATTTGATTAGGCTATCAATCACTCAAACCCCTTTATGTAAATCTCTCTACTTAACCGTCAATCATGTATTCAGAGCATAGTGGCTTGTGGCCAATACTATCCCTTAAATTGTGCACGGCTCTGCACTTTGAATTTCCAGTGGAAATAGTTTGATACTGATTTCATCATACTACAATTTGGGACACACTAATTCTAATTTCGAATACTATTTAGGACTGATAGTGGATTATTTGTGGGCAGCTCACTGAGATTTTTTACTGCGGCAATTCTTCTCTATAAGCAATTTACATTTGATATTATTTTTCCTTATCAGGGAGTGTGCAGCTGATCCGACCTGCGTGCTGTGTATGCAGTGCTTCTTAGGCAGCGTTCACAAAGAGCATCGCTACAGGGTAAGAAGAAGCAGAGACACATGCAGTAGCCACTTCTCTTTAACATTCTTAAACCTCTCGCTCAAGTATGTATAAGCATGTTGGCGTGAGAGGCGCAGAGAAATTGTGAAATACCAAGTTGCTGCAGGTCAGTCTCATTTGGAGCAGTAGAAGCTGGCTGCGCTAGTGCCACGTGGACCCTGACTTCTCCCTAACAAAAGATTCCAGTTTACATTTGTCTAACCAAACTAAGTCCGAGAAGTCATTATGGCTCAACCAAAATGATAGTTCATACTTTTTCAGCATTTAAAACTGAGAGCTGTGACTCATGGTGCGGATCTTTGTAAAGGTTACAGGACAGATGGAGCTGTTGTGTTTGTGAAGATCAAACAGTCTAACAAAATGAACAGACTGGTCTCTAATTTAAGTGCTGTTTCAGTTTTACCACTGACTTTGTTTCTGTTCTGTTTGAAACGCGTTGTCTTCATACAAAAATTATTTAAAATATCATGAAGGTTATTGAGTGTTTTTTTTGTGGAGTAGTATATTTGATGCATCAGGCTTTAATAGCTCATATAGTATGATCTAGGAGAATATGGAGCTCATATTCAAAAGCACCTCAGCTTCCTCAAACTGAGGAAGCATGTCATTTGGTGCACTTGCTAATATTTATATAGCCAAAAACTGAGATGAAATTCTGATAGCTTGTAATGTAAATCAGTGAGATCTTCATAACAGTATGCAGTGCGGAAAGTTTTTATTTGATCCCCTGCTGATTTTGTAAGTTTGCAAAACTTGCAAAGAAATGAAGGGTCTATCATTTTTATTTTAGGTTTATTTTAACGGATAGAGACAGAATATCAACCAAAAAAATCACACATTATATAAAGGTTCGAAATTGATTTGCATTTGCATCACAGGTCTGTTATTTCTAAGATACAGATGTAGGAGACTTGAGATCAACTCTGAGCCGTCATGTGCTGCTGTCTTTGTGAGTAAGTGGCTCTTTGTGCTCTCTGTAGATGACCACCTCAGGAGGAGGAGGTTTCTGTGACTGCGGTGACACAGAGGCCTGGAAGAAGGGCCCTTACTGTCAGAAACATGAGCCCAATATCAGTGACTCTTCCCAGAAGGTAAGACACCTCTTCCTCTGTGACACTGAATCAACAAGAGGAATGGGAATTAATGAGGAATTTACTGATTTTGATTTCAATTGAAACAATTCCCAACCCTACTTGGCAGTACCACATAAATACTTGAGCATGATGTAGTTTTCATAGGTGCAAAAGTACATCTTGTTAACATAATCTTGAGGATTATTTGAACAATGTATGGGTTAAATTGGAAACAAACTAGGCTTGCTGCGATAGTCGATGTTGACGGTGTTACCAGGGTTCCATAGTGTTTGCTGATATATATATAAAAACTTTGTGTAAGTAATTTATTTTATATTAGGCCTATAGCATGGTGTATTTTTATTCGGTTTGTTTACAGAAGTTCTATGTTTAATATAAGTGAGTTTGTTGTTGTCCATTCAAGCAATTGACGGCAGATTGCCACTAATTCGAAAGTGAAAGTAAAATGCGCACAGGCATTTACAAGCTATTTAAAAGCGAGGGAATGAGGGAAAACCCCAACGAATTCCCCCCCCCCCCCCCCGTGATACCAGTATTACCGGTGTTGTCACGCATTGATTAACTGGTGGGAAAATTTCCTCACCGTCACAACCTTAAAACAAACCCTTGTGTTCCCTGTTTTGTTTGGCAGGATCCTTTGGCTAATATGTCTGAAGAGATGATTGCTCGCACACATAATGTTTTCTCCATCATCCTCAAATATGCTGTGGACATGCTCACCTGGGACAAAGAGGATGAGCTACCTGAAGGCCTTGAGCCACCGTAAGACACATTAGCACTCACACTATGGCCTGTTTTTTACCCTCCTAAGCGTTAAGAAAAAGAGTCACAAATTAGCTGTTCATGGTCGGTTTTGACCAGGAACAGTAAGAATGTAACTATTTATTTATTTATTTTTATAATAAAATTATTTGAAACTGCTTACCTTGAAGCACTAACAGTTACATTTTGCACTATTGTTGGGATTTTGGTTCATATGTATCTTTTTAGAATTTTTTTTTTTACACCATTTATTTGTATAAGCAAATACACAAACTTTTGGAACTTCATTACAGTAAAATTATAAACTTCTATGAGTTTAAACAAAGAAAATATGAGAATTTATCATGTATTTGGGCTAGATTTCTGCCAGCTGGTGAAAAAAAAAAAAAGAAAAAAAGTGTCCTATGCATCCAAAATGCTGCACAAGAATTCTTGAAGTTATGCTTAGAAAGAAAAAAATACACATTTGGATATTAATTTAGACATTATCTAGTCATTTTGAAGTGTAGAGACTTTTCAGATCGCTATCTTGATATCTAAAAAAAAGTCACCAAGTTTTACAACACTCATAGGTGTGGAAAAACTTTTTTTTTTTTTTTTTTTTTTTTTTTTTTTTTTTTTTTAAACAAAACAAAATCTGTCAAAATGACTGAGAAGCTTGTTAAATCCCTAATATCCCTAATTAGAAGAACACATTTTTAGGGGGTACATTTTAATCCCTCAGGATAGGGCTGCACGATATATCGAAATATCGCAAATGTTAATATCGCAAGGGCATGCGATATCTGAATCATTTTAATAATAGGCTACTTAAATCAAAAAGATGCAAAAGGTCAAAGTTTTAGTTTGACGCATATAGCAGAGAATTGCTTGACGTTAAAAAGAGTTAAGTGCAATAAGTTGCAGAAAACAACTCTTTGCCGTCTCGTCTTGCTGTCTGACAGACTCACACCTGAAGCGCATGCACAAGCCGCATCTCGCACAGTGTATCTTCAGTTCTGCCGCAAAAAGCGCACACATACACACAGAGACACGTTGCAGACAGCGTGTGAACACCGAGTTGATTCTTCTTGCGCGTCTCCTCATGTTTGAACAGACACATACACACAGAATTGTCAATAGTACCCGTCTCGACGATCATTCTCGTAAACGCAGTCGGTTATGTTTTAAATGAATGTAAACAGCTGAGAAAGAAATCGGATGTGTATCATTATACTGGATCCATGCAGTCGGATTTAAAGGGACAGCAGCCTATAAATACCTGCTGCTGAATATGTCACTAATGTTAATCAAACAACAAAACGGCTATAACAAAGATGAATCTAAATTTAATTCATACAGTGAACACTATACAGTGTTATTTTACACTTAATTATTACATGTCTGTACCTGAATACTATTTATTTTATCTATGCTTGTAAATTGTGTATTTCTTTTTTTTTTCTTTCTTTCTTTTTTACTGACTGTTCACTTGCCTTTAATCATGTTTGAGCTTTCTCAGACTATAGTTTTTGCGGTGGTATATGAAGAAGTACTTAAATTGTGTGGAAAGCAAAGTTACAATGATATAAAATTAGTGTCATTCATTTTATTTTTTTTTGTATGTTCACATTGATGTTAAAATTACATTTTCTGATTTGTGACATTACTTTTCATGTAATTCTAAAACACTGCTGGTCACTTTCAGAAGTTATGATTCTTTCTTTTCCAAGAAAGAATGTGAAACAAATTGGTTATATAATTTTAATTTGTAAATATTTTAAAATATAATTGAAATTGATTTTACACACTTTAAGCAATATCATATCACATCAAATATCGCATTTTTTAACAAGGTATCTCATATTGCATTTTTCTTCAATATCGCATAGCCCTACCTCAGGATCATCCGTCATGCATGCAATCGCTTTTGGTTACTGCATGTTAGCATATTGGGAGAAATGTAACTTGCTTTTTTTTTTTTTCTCAAGGCTGCGTGGAGACACGTACTACTGCATGCTGTTCAACGATGAGGTCCACACGTACGAGCAGGTCATCTATACACTACAGAAAGCAGTTAGCTGCACTCAGAAAGAGGCCGTCAGTTTCGCCACCATCGTGGACAGAGATGTAAGTTGACCTGCTGTTAGTTCCACAGTGCCATGTTCTTGCTTTTGTTCATTGATTACTTCTGTTCACTGTATTCAGGGCAGGAAGTCTGTTCGCTTTGGGGACTTCCAGTTTTGTGAGCAGGCCAAATCTGTTATTGTGGTAAGTTCTAAACAGTCACAAATCCTATCCGTTTTCCTCAGATGTGTAAAGCAATTGGGTTTTTTGCCCTTTTTTTCTCTTTTTTTTTTTTCCTGAAAGGTTTGGTTAAGTAGGACATTTATTTAAGTTTTATGGATAAATGCTCCCCAATTTGCATATAGCAGTTTCAGCAACAGGCAAAAGAAGATTTTCATGTCAGACGATAAAAAGAGTGAAAAAAAAAAACTCATATACTGACATTGAAGGAGGGACATAGTACTTCATAGCAACACCTTGGCAACCATTCACAACAATTTAGCATTGCGGGGGCAACTTTGCAGAAATTAAAGCATCATTAAAGTGTTCATGTAAATGTCATTTGTTTGTGAATATGTTTGGACACATGTTTTGCAGAGGAACACAAGTCGGCAGACGAAACCCCTGCGGGTTGAAGTCATGCACTCCTCTGTAGTGGCTCATCAGTGTTTTGCACTCAAAGCTCTCACCTGGCTCGGCCAAATCATCAGATGCTCAGGTCAGTCTCTGCATTTGTGTCACTTTCTCTCTCTCCCTCTCTTTTTTCCTTTGTATTCTTTCCTTTCAAGCTCTTCAGGAAAAGTATTATTATTCAGTTTCTGCTTAATCTTCTGCAAAGCCCTGGATTTTTTGCCACATTATTGTAATGTTTCCTAGGCAAGTGAATGCCTATGGTGTGGCAGTGTCTTTCTCTTGAGGCAGTCTTATGCAAATGTGTGTGCTTGTGTGACATCACAAATCCACCAATATCCAAACGAGCCGTTTTTTGAACTTGATTGAATAAATGCTATTTGAGGACATTTTAAGCTATGAAACTTGCTGAATGATTTAATGGTACAAAGACCTCTTATATGTCAAAAGATCAAGGCAAATTTGATTTCTTGTGTCATGACCGTTTTAATCCAGCAGTGTGCTCTGTGTTAGGCCGCTGTAATGAATCAGTGCCTGAGTTTATTGCTGTCCCCAACAGATGCTCTGAGGAGGATCCTGTGTCAGGTGGGTCTGCAGCGAGGACCAGAGGGAGAGAACTCTTCTCTGGTGGACACGCTCATGCTCTGTGACTCCAAGATGTGGAAAGGTGAATGAAGCAAGACTGATTTCCCTTCAATGCCTCATTACTGTAATGTGTCTGTATGTTTTAAGTTTTTATTGCAATTATTCTCAGTTGAGTGCCATTCTCATTATTAAACAATCCTAGTATACTATAGTTTAAATTAGCAAGATAATTATATTAATATAAATCAGTTTTGTTTGCACTACAGTAATGAGGATGTAATTAATTGTCATTTACAAATAAAACAAAATTGGTAATCATATTTTACAGTGTTCTTGTTACACGCTACATATACTTACTATAGTAATAGTAACCGTAAACTCTACGTAATTAAAGCAACTGACCCTGTAGAAAGTACATGTTGTTAATTAATATTGCTCAGTACTTAATTGTATAATTACACTGTAACAAGGACACTTTAAAATGAACTAACCATACTTTTCTGTTTGTTTATTTTGTTATTTGGGGTGAAATATGACTGGGGCATGTACATGTACCAGTTACGCTAATGATGTATTTAATCTTGTGTTTCCTGCAGGAGCGAGAAATGTTTACCACCAGCTCTTTATGAGCAGCTTACTCATGGATTCAAAATACAAAAAACTTTTTGCCATCCAGTTTGCAAAGGTAAGACTTCCATTTGCAATGGCACAGTCTTTATATTGATTTGCATTAAACCCCATGAAGCCCCAAAAAGTGGAGAAAATTTGGCACATGCACCCACCGGAGTTTGCATTGTCATGATTACTTAGGAATGGGTTTAGGAAACGCATTGGCACTGGCTTTACTCTCATATTGTCTTTACAGCATAGAGCAGCATTTTTGAAAGTCAGGCTTTCTGGGACTCCATGACAACCTGTACATTACAGGGATAGTTCAACCAAAAATGAAAAAAAAAAACTGTCATCAATTACTCACCCTTATGTCGTTCCAAACCAGCAAGATATTCGTTCTACATCATAAAGACATTGTAAAAGTAATCCATATATGCATTGAGTGGTTTAATCCAAGTCTTCTGAAGAGAAACACCTACATGGAGAACATGAATAAGATAAACAGAAGCTCAGCTCTACTTGACACACAAGAACAAACCTCATTGATTTAGGATGAGTAAATGATTTTAGATTTTTCATTTTTGTGTGAACTAACCTTTTAAATGTTGTTTTTAGAATCATTGACTGGACAAAGTACAAGTGGGTTTGACATGTTAAATGTTCTGGGTCCAAGTTACAAGTTAGAATTTGTCATGTTGTCATTTACCACAGAGAATATTTTCCAAATTATGTTAATGCTCTTGCACTGAACGTCTATATTCTACAGAAGCCTGTTTCCTCCACGGTATAAAAAAAATAAAAATGTAATGGCAACATTTTATCTGACAGTTCTGACTTTCGCCCCCCCCTCACAATTCTGAATTTATATCTCACAATTCTTTATTTTTCTCACAATTCTGAGGAAAAAAATCAGAATTGCGAGATATAAACTCAGCATTCTGGCTTTTTTTTTCAGAATTGTAAGATATAACTATTGTATGTTATAAAATCCAACTCTGAGGAAAAAGTCACTTTTGTATATTTATATCTCGCAGTTCTGAAATTATAACTTTACTCGCAATTGCGAGTTTAGATCAAGCCATTCTGATTTAATAACTCACAATTGCGTGTTTATCTGTCAATTGATACAGTGGGGCAAAAAAGTATTTAGTCAGCCACCAATTGTGCAAGTTCTCCCACTTAAAAAGATGAGAGATATATCATCATAGGTATACCTCAACTATGAGAGACAAAATGAGAAAAAAAAATCCAGAAAATCAGCAAGGGCATTGAAGATGAAACGTGGCTGGGTCTTTCAGCATGACAATGATCCCAAACACACCGCCCGGGCAACGAAGGAGTGGCTTTGTAAGAAGCATTTCAAGGTCCTGGAGTGGCCTAGCCAGTCTTCAGATCTCAACCCCATAGAAAATCTTTGGAGGGAGTTGAAAATCCGTGTTGCCCAGCGACAGCCCCAAAACATTACTGCTCTAGAGGAGATTTGCATGGAGGAATGGGCCAAAATACCAGCAACAGTGTGTGAAAACCTTGTGAAGACTTACAGAAAACGTTTGACCTCTGTCATTGCCAACAAAGGGTATATAACAAAGTATTGAGATTAAATTTTGTTATTGACCAAATACTTATTTTCCACCATAATTTGCAAATAAATTCTTTAAAAATCCTACAATGTGATTTTCTGGATTTTTTTTTTCTCATTTTGTCTCTCATAGTTGAGGTATACCTATGATGAAAATTACAGGCCTCTCTCATCTTTTTAAGTGGGAGAACTTGCACAATTGGTGGCTGACTAAATACTTTTTTCCCCCACTGTATCTCTATATTATCTATATTATGTAAACTCACAATCTGTAGAAAAAAGTCAGAATTGTTAGAAAAAGTTGCAGTTGCCTTTTTTTATTTTTTTTTATTCAATGGCAGAAACGAGCTTCCATTATAGTGCAAGGCATCACTTAAGAATAAACATTAAACTGTATACATTTTTGAAAACTTACTGCACCATCCCACTTACTGCACCATCCCGAAAGAATTTGTCAGTTTCCACAAGCATGTCTAGAATATGCCAAGTCTGTATTCTTACTAGAGCATCAAGTTAAATTTCACTTCACACTCAGTTTGATTCAGCTGATCTGTGAGGATAAGAGAGTTTGAGCAGTCATTCCCTGTTCAGTGAGGGGTATCGTCTCGGAGAGAGAGCATGTGTAATAGAGAGAGATGCTATGACTTAGCGGAGCTGCTCTTGCGGGCTTTGATTCGCTGCCCGCTGCAGTCCTCCAACTGAACCAGTCGTGCTGTGACAGCAGGAAATCTCTCTCTCTGTGTGCACTCTGGTGTAGGGCCCTGTGAAATCTCTTTTCTTTTTTTTCTCAGATTTGTCCATTTCATTTTTCTAATCGAAATCATGTATACAATTTATAAAAAAATTTAACAAAAACAAAATTATGGACATATGAAATGTTTTATTTGTTCCCAAATGTCTTCTAATCAGTTGAATTAATAAATATTTAACCATTTAAATAATTTATTAAAGGGTTACTCCACCCCAAAATGAAAATGTTGTCATTAATCACTTACCCCCATGTCGTTCCAAACCTGTAAAAGCTTAGTTTGTCTTTGGAAACACAATTTAAGATATTTTGGATGTAAATAACACTGTCATATTTTTCTGGGCTTTGACAGTGTTATTTACTTGGCAGTCAATGGGACAGTCACAAGCCACCCGGTTTTCATCCAACATATCTTAAATTGTGTTCCGAAGACAAACGGAGCTTTTACGGGTTTGGAACGACATGGGGGTAAGTGATTACTGACAAAATTTTCATTTTGGGGTGGAGTATCCCTTTAACATTTTTACAATAATATGTTCCTATAAAATGTTTAATTTTGTTCAGAAATCCTGTTGTCGTCTGTATTAATATTTTCTTGATTTTAAATGTAATTATTTATTATCAAAAAAGAGTGGTAACCAAATGATGGCATAAAACATTAAGTTTAATTCATATTTAAAAATGTAATCAAAATTGAACAATTCCTTTATTTTATTTTTTTTCAAACTAATTGCTGCACAACAGAGGTTTACTTTTTAAAATTAAAACATGAAAAAAATAGTCAGATGTTCCTTAAATACATTTAATTTATTATTGTTATTATTATTATTTTGATAAGTACATTATACTGTACAATAGTAGTATATTGCTCTCACAATTACTTAAAATTAAACCCAACTTATATTTAGGTGGGTTATCGTGAAACCTTTTGAGATTCTGTGTGTGAGACGATAGCTTTATCAAATGAATTTGGGAAATGCTGGTGAAGGGACTCTCAGAGCAGAGCTGGAGATGAAGTTCATGTCCTTATATATTTAGACCACAGAGGCTGAAAAGACCACAAGCATTGCTCGTGCTTAAGATGATGTAGTAGACGAAACAGCATCACTCAATCACAGACGTCCAGAGCATTCAGACTTCATATTTAAATAGCAGTCTTTTTGTCTTTTTTTAATATGCACAGACAAACTGTAACTTCATTATACTGTAAGTTTCCACAATTCTGTTTTCCATATTGCGGAAATCATAGGGCCCTGGCACAGGTGTGGCTGACAGATTTGTACCTTAGCTTAAACAACTCTAGAAAGTCTACTATAAATATAGTATTTAAAGTTTAGCGTTAGCTCGAGTCCCCCGGCTCCACACTTGCCCCAGTGCCACGATGCAACTAAAGGCTGCGTGTGCCTGACATAGAACCGAGTCGGGGGACGTAACTGCAGATGGCCCCTGACCTCTGACCCGGAAGGTGAATCTGCCCCCTTCCCTTAGAATTACCGGCGCCTCCAGACAGATTTTATGGAGGACGATCATGAGCGTGTAGTGTCAGTGACCTCTCTGTCAGTGCAGCTCTTCACCGCCCCCACTGTGGTGAGTACCGCCAATCCCACACACCTTGTCTAGAATATGCCAAGTCTGTATTCTTACTAGAGCATCAAGTTAAATTTCACTTCACACTCAGTTTGATTCAGCTGATCTGTGAGGATAAGAGAGTTTGAGCAGTCATTCCCTGTTCAGTGAGGGGTATCGTCTCGGAGAGAGAGCATGTGTAATAGAGAGAGATGCTATGACTTAGCGGAGCTGCTCTTGCGGGCTTTGATTCGCTGCCCGCTGCAGTCCTCCAACTGAACCAGTCGTGCTGTGACAGCAGGAAATCTCTCTCTCTGTGTGCACTCTGGTGTAGGGCCCTGTGAAATCTCTTTTCTTTTTTTTCTCAGATTTGTCCATTTCATTTTTCTAATCGAAATCATGTATACAATTTATAAAAAAATTTAACAAAAACAAAATTATGGACATATGAAATGTTTTATTTGTTCCCAAATGTCTTCTAATCAGTTGAATTAATAAATATTTAACCATTTAAATAATTTATTAAAGGGTTACTCCACCCCAAAATGAAAATGTTGTCATTAATCACTTACCCCCATGTCGTTCCAAACCTGTAAAAGCTTAGTTTGTCTTTGGAAACACAATTTAAGATATTTTGGATGTAAATAACACTGTCATATTTTTCTGGGCTTTGACAGTGTTATTTACTTGGCAGTCAATGGGACAGTCACAAGCCACCCGGTTTTCATCCAACATATCTTAAATTGTGTTCCGAAGACAAACGGAGCTTTTACGGGTTTGGAACGACATGGGGGTAAGTGATTACTGACAAAATTTTCATTTTGGGGTGGAGTATCCCTTTAACATTTTTACAATAATATGTTCCTATAAAATGTTTAATTTTGTTCAGAAATCCTGTTGTCGTCTGTATTAATATTTTCTTGATTTTAAATGTAATTATTTATTATCAAAAAAGAGTGGTAACCAAATGATGGCATAAAACATTAAGTTTAATTCATATTTAAAAATGTAATCAAAATTGAACAATTCCTTTATTTTATTTTTTTTCAAACTAATTGCTGCACAACAGAGGTTTACTTTTTAAAATTAAAACATGAAAAAAATAGTCAGATGTTCCTTAAATACATTTAATTTATTATTGTTATTATTATTATTTTGATAAGTACATTATACTGTACAATAGTAGTATATTGCTCTCACAATTACTTAAAATTAAACCCAACTTATATTTAGGTGGGTTATCGTGAAACCTTTTGAGATTCTGTGTGTGAGACGATAGCTTTATCAAATGAATTTGGGAAATGCTGGTGAAGGGACTCTCAGAGCAGAGCTGGAGATGAAGTTCATGTCCTTATATATTTAGACCACAGAGGCTGAAAAGACCACAAGCATTGCTCGTGCTTAAGATGATGTAGTAGACGAAACAGCATCACTCAATCACAGACGTCCAGAGCATTCAGACTTCATATTTAAATAGCAGTCTTTTTGTCTTTTTTTAATATGCACAGACAAACTGTAACTTCATTATACTGTAAGTTTCCACAATTCTGTTTTCCATATTGCGGAAATCATAGGGCCCTGGCACAGGTGTGGCTGACAGATTTGTACCTTAGCTTAAACAACTCTAGAAAGTCTACTATAAATATAGTATTTAAAGTTTAGCGTTAGCTCGAGTCCCCCGGCTCCACACTTGCCCCAGTGCCACGATGCAACTAAAGGCTGCGTGTGCCTGACATAGAACCGAGTCGGGGGACGTAACTGCAGATGGCCCCTGACCTCTGACCCGGAAGGTGAATCTGCCCCCTTCCCTTAGAATTACCGGCGCCTCCAGACAGATTTTATGGAGGACGATCATGAGCGTGTAGTGTCAGTGCCCTCTCTGTCAGTGCAGCTCTTCACCGCCCCCACTGTGGTGAGTACCGCCAATCCCACACACCTCTCCTCTCTCTTCTGCCTCTTTCTCCTCTCCTCCGCCCCCTTCACCACTGCCTGCAGAACTATGAGTGCTTGCAGAGCGACTACGTGAAAGACGACCACGACAGGGAGTTCTCCGTCACTGATCTTTCTGTGCAAATGTTCGCCGTGCCCTCTCTGGTGAGTACATGCAAAGAGAGACGGCCTGCCACGAGGAAGAGGCTTGTCGTTTTGGGTTTTTGGTCTCCTCTTCCATTCACTTTTCCTTTTTTCTATTCACTCTTTCTCTTCCCTTTCCATCTTTCCTATTTCATCTTAAAATTGTTCCTTCCTCTTTCCTCTTTACTAGTACTGCACTGAATTTAAATTTTTTTTATCGAAACTGAAAGTAAAGTTTTTATTTAGCCAAAAATTGAAAATAGTATAATAATTAGGGCTTTCAGTTTAATGTGTTAATTCAATTAATTAGTTATGGAAAACTAAAGTGATTTAAAATGTGTTTTGATATAAAACAGTTTTAGTTTGTTATTTCATAAAAAAATTTTTTTTTTACAAATTAATAAAAATACATATTAATAAAAAAACTAATTAAAAAGGAAAAATGGAAAAAAGAAAAGGTAAAAAAATATATTTCTAAAGCTACTTTTTGTAATATCTATTTCATACTTTTCTCATGTAACACAACTATGACTTTAAATGATCTTTTATGGGTAATTTTTCAGCCAAATTTGATGTGTGATTAATTACATTAATTAATCAAAACATTGTTTAATTAATTACTTGTTTAATTTATTGACAGCCCTGATAATAATCAATTAATAATTAATCAAATGTATTTAGTAATCAATGCAAAAACTTTTTTAAATATGAATTGTAAATATTTAAGTTGCGCATAACTTTTGTCAAATTTTTAATAATTTAATTATGTAATGGTATAATTATGTTGTTGTTGAAATACAAATATTTAAGTTTAAGTTTTCATGAAAAATGTATTCAAACACAATAAATGAGACCTCACTAACGGGTAAAGAATAAATTGAATTTGTAAAATAGTGCATATATTTAGCAAAATACTCAAATTATGTTTTTTCTAGCTGACGAATGAGATATGGACATTGAATGGCTTTCTTAAGGTAAATGTAAAGTTACTTAACATAGTTTACAAGCTCTTTTATTAGATTTTTTTATTTAATTTTAATTATTCTAGAATTTGAAATTGGAGAAGTACTAATTAAACGTCTCCGTATCAGTAAATTTACTTTAGTCAAAAACCAAACATTTATTTCCTCTTCGCTTTTCCACTTCCCTCCCACTCTTTCATTTTCTTCTGCACTTCCACATCTGCTTTCTCCTCTCTTTCCTCCTTCCTTTCCCTTGCCTTTGACTTTGTTCTCTTCTGTCTCATCTTCTCTCAATAAAAATGATTTCCGCGTATAGAAAAACAGCTTACGGCCCAAACCTCCAGCGGTCTGCCAGATGTGGCAATGGTGTATTTCATTTTCCAGGCTCGGATGTTGATCACAGAAGAGAACCTGATGACCACCATCATCCGCACATTCATGGACCACCTCAGACACCGAGACCTGCAGGGCCACTTTCAGTTTGAACGCTACACCGCACAACAAGCCTTCAAATTCCGCCGGGTCCAGAGCCTTATAGGAGACCTCAAGTAAGATACTGAGCGTGTCTGCCCATTTCATATACAGTTATATTTGTGTGTCTAAAATTCCCAATTCTTGAGATGCGTGTAATGATGAGTTTCTCTTGGATGCAGGTATGTCCTGATGAGCCGTCCAACAGAATGGACCGACCAACTCAGGGAGAAGTATCTTGAGGGGTTTGATGCTTTCTTGGAGTTGCTAAAATGCATGCAGGTGACTATGCCAATGTGATTTTAAGATTGCGTGTCAGTGGTAATTGAAATTGAGCAGTAAAACAGCTGTGTGTTTCCTCTTTGCAGGGAATGGACCCTGTAGTGCGTCAGGTGGGGCAGCACATAGAGATGGAGCCAGAATGGGAGGCAGCGTTCACCTTACAGATGAAGCTCACTCATATCATCTCTATGATGCAGGAATGGTGTGCCAGTGATGTAAGTGCATGTTAGACACAGTCACTTTAGTATCCATAATCCACCATGGGGCCTTGATACAAGTCTATTATTTGTCACATGCACAGGAGCGAGTGCTGATCGAAGCCTATAAGAAGTGCCTGAGTGCACTGACTCACTGCCACAGTGGTTTCACAGATGGGGAGCAGCCCATAACCCTCTGCATGTGCGGCCACTCTGTTGACACCATCCGCTACTGCGTCTCTCAGGAGAAAGTCAGCATACACCTACCTGTGTCCCGGCTTTTAGCAGGTCAGTCGAACATGGTTTCACACATAGTCCGTTTTGCAGTAAGGCCATATACATGCTGCGGAGTTTTGAGAATAAATCCGGAGAGTTCTTTGAGTTATCGATTGTGTGTATGGAATATAGAAGTCACTCTTGAAATTGCAGTGGTTGATGGTGATAACTACACCACATATCTACTGAACCTTGACTCTCTCTCTTCCTGTTAGGTTTACATGCTCTGCTGAGCAAAACTGAGGTTGCCTATCGATTCCCTGAGCAGCTGCCGCTGGTAAGTTTGTTGGTTTTGGTTCATGAGAATTGTTGCAAAAACAATCTTGGCAATTTTTAAGGCCTCTTTTGTCTTCCACAGAGTGAACTGAGTCCACCCATGTTGATCGAGCACCCGCTCCGTTGCCTTATACTCTGTGCCCAGGTGCATGCTGGGATGTGGAGAAGAAATGGCTTCTCTTTGGTCAATCAGGCAAGCTTATAAATGTGCTTCGTTCTAATACTCAAGATCTTTAAGAGCGTGATTGTTAGTGTTAATGCCTTTTCATAAAAAATTGGTGCTTTTTCTTGAATTGTTTTTGCAGATCTATTATTATCACAATGTGAAGTGTAGAGTGGAGATGTTCGATCAAGACCTCATCATGCTTCAGGTCAGTAGTGTGAAGATATTTCGTTCCAAAATTATCCAAAAAGTATTTAATTCCAAAGATTAAAACAAAAAATATATATTTTACATGAAGGAATCAATTACAAAAAAGGGGGATTACATTCATTTTAAATCATGAAAATATTTGTGCTTCATAAATTCGTAAATGTTCTATAAATTTCACAATACAAAAAGTCCTAAAATTGGCCTAAAATATATTTTTAAAAAGGTCCTAAAGTTTTAATCAATTCATCACCATTTTCTGTACCAGTATTCTCATTACCATTATGTGGAAAATAATCCACAGTGATGGGGAAAACCTGATTAATTGAGTTTTTGGTAACACTTTCTATGAAGCCCATATTTATAATACATTATTAGGGTATTCTGAAGGCATTATAATGAATGCATAATGCATTATAAAAAAAACTTATGGGGCCTTGATACAAGTCTATTATTTGTCACATGCACAGGAGCGAGTGCTGATCGAAGCCTATAAGAAGTGCCTGAGTGCACTGACTCACTGCCACAGTGGTTTCACAGATGGGGAGCAGCCCATAACCCTCTGCATGTGCGGCCACTCTGTTGACACCATCCGCTACTGCGTCTCTCAGGAGAAAGTCAGCATACACCTACCTGTGTCCCGGCTTTTAGCAGGTCAGTCGAACATGGTTTCACACATAGTCCGTTTTGCAGTAAGGCCATATACATGCTGCGGAGTTTTGAGAATAAATCCGGAGAGTTCTTTGAGTTATCGATTGTGTGTATGGAATATAGAAGTCACTCTTGAAATTGCAGTGGTTGATGGTGATAACTACACCACATATCTACTGAACCTTGACTCTCTCTCTTCCTGTTAGGTTTACATGCTCTGCTGAGCAAAACTGAGGTTGCCTATCGATTCCCTGAGCAGCTGCCGCTGGTAAGTTTGTTGGTTTTGGTTCATGAGAATTGTTGCAAAAACAATCTTGGCAATTTTTAAGGCCTCTTTTGTCTTCCACAGAGTGAACTGAGTCCACCCATGTTGATCGAGCACCCGCTCCGTTGCCTTATACTCTGTGCCCAGGTGCATGCTGGGATGTGGAGAAGAAATGGCTTCTCTTTGGTCAATCAGGCAAGCTTATAAATGTGCTTCGTTCTAATACTCAAGATCTTTAAGAGCGTGATTGTTAGTGTTAATGCCTTTTCATAAAAAATTGGTGCTTTTTCTTGAATTGTTTTTGCAGATCTATTATTATCACAATGTGAAGTGTAGAGTGGAGATGTTCGATCAAGACCTCATCATGCTTCAGGTCAGTAGTGTGAAGATATTTCGTTCCAAAATTATCCAAAAAGTATTTAATTCCAAAGATTAAAACAAAAAATATATATTTTACATGAAGGAATCAATTACAAAAAAGGGGGATTACATTCATTTTAAATCATGAAAATATTTGTGCTTCATAAATTCGTAAATGTTCTATACATTTCACAATACAAAAAGTCCTAAAATTGGCCTAAAATATATTTTTAAAAAGGTCCTAAAGTTTTAATCAATTCATCACCATTTTCTGTACCAGTATTCTCATTACCATTATGTGGAAAATAATCCACAGTGATGGGAAAACCTGATTAATTGAGTTTTTGGTAACACTTTCTATGAAGCCCATATTTATAATACATTATTAGGGTATTCTGAAGGCATTATAATGAATGCATAATGCATTATAAAAAAAACTTATAATATGTTGCATCATCTCATGAATATTCATAAGAACAGTTTTAATATATTATAATATTTACTTATTTGTGGTTATAGCTTTTAAGAGTATGATGATTTATAACACAATGAACATGTTGCATCCACTTTTACAATGGATTATATTTCTCATAGTTATAATGTAGTATAAGTCTCATATCTTGCCATTTTTCGTATGCTACTTTACTTAAAGCGGTCAAAGACCACTTATAAGTAGTAATAATAATAATAAAAATGTTCTCTCAAACAGCCATAAGATCAGATATCAGATCAGATGAATGTGTAATATGACACATTTGCTTTGAACTATTTTTATTGTAATATCAGTTTGATTATTTTGATGGTACCCTTTAAACAGCTGTTGATAAGTGACTCTGCAACTACATATCAGCTAGCGGTCATTAGAGTATTAGTACGTCTGCTACTGTAAATATTTGCTAACACTATAAGTGTCTTTGCAAGTACGTCAACTTATTCTACCATACTAGATTCTACCATTCTTGAGCATACTAATACTCTAATGAGAGTTAGTTGGCATGTAGTTGCAAAGTTGCTTATAGTCGATTGATTAAGGAGACCATCAAAATAAAAATGTCTATATGTCTATAGTCAATATGCATTTTTCTAGTTAATATGGCAGTTAAATACAAAAATAACCTTCTGGACAAGATCGATCCTTTTTTTATGTTTAAAAATAAGGCAAACTTTTTCTGACTATCATGGTTTGTATATATGTAAGTTAAGTCAGCACAGAGATAAAGCTATTCTCTGCTTAATACAGGAATTGTATATAATTTAATGATGGTTCTTTAACGGCAGTGGTTTTAAATCATATATATATATATATATATATATATACACACACACACACAAAATATGTCATCAGTTAACTGATATTATTGAATTAGGGCTATCGCGATAACCGCAATATTGCAATACCGCGAGCAAACCGCAGAGGAGTGCAAGAACCGCAGCAACTTATGCTTGTTTTCTTTTTTCATAGGGTTATGCCCTTCTCGTTTTACACTTCGTGTATGTCTACTGAATATTAAATAAGTTAGTAATGATAACATAATGTGTACCATGCTGATTTGTACTGAGGCTCTGTAGATTTGCGCTTAACAAGCCTAAACAGACAACGAATGAGAGAGAGATCAACTGAGCATGTGCGATTACTTGCGAGTCATATATATTTGTGAAAATAGGTTGTCATGTCCAAGGAAAGCCAAATCTCTGTCTTGGCATCGACACATTGGTCAGCTGAGCCTTCTAACGTGACGCTCAAAGTTCAAATGATTTCAACAGCATTTTTCATTATGTCTCTCATTGAATGAATCAGCGTTTTTGAACGTGTAGTTGAACGAACGGTTTAAAGACACATTCAAAGACAGACCCTTGCCGCCACCTTGTGGCGCAAGAATGTAACGGCACTGACTGACAGCCCGTCTAGAACGCGCGCAGGTGGAAATATCAATAGAAAGTCTCTTGTCCAGTCGGATTCGAGGATCAGAACGAACTGTTATACATATAGGCTAACAATAGCCTAACAATCTTATTGTCAGGTTTATGTTCTGTTATGTGGATCGTTATTTTGTCATTCTCTTATGTTTACTTCACTTCCTGTTTCAACGCTATTTGGTTTCGGTTTCATTGGTTTCTGAATATGGCCTCGTTATATTGAAACATACACACACATATTTTTTATATACATATATATATGGCGATAATACCGCATATCGCGCTATTGAGCCTCTCAAAATTACCGCAAGGGAAATTCCTTTACCGTGACAGCCCTAATTAAAATCGGGATTGTAGAGAAACAAGAATCTATATCAAACATATGGATGCATTGCAGCAATGACAGTTTGGCAGGAAAGTGTCCTTATTTATCATGAAAGCAATGTACAATATACCTTTTAGCACAATGTGATTCATTTTCTCTATGCTAAGTATAAGTTCTTATGCATACTGTTTTTGTATCTAGGCTGGAGCTTCTATGATGGATCCAAACCACTTCCTGATGATCATGTTGAGCCGTTTTGAGCTTTATCATATCTTCAGCTCAGCAGACTGCAGAAAGAGATACAGCAGAGAGAATGCTAACAAGGTCTGCCTACCTCCAAAACACTTTTTGTTCCCATTTTCTTTTTGCTTGATTTCTCTCTGCTTGCACTCATTTCTATTTCCAGTGATGTGTGTTTCTCTCACTGTCTCTCAGGATGTGCTTCAGCAGAATAACACACTAATTGAGGAGATGCTGCATCTGGTCATTATGACCGTGGGTGAGTGATCTTTTCTCAACATGTTGAGCTTTGTTATGCCAGGTGTATTAAGCTTATTAGACACCGTAGAAAGTGTAAAAAAAAAAAAAAAAAGTCTTTCATGCTTTGCTTGTTTTTGTTTTTTCCTGTAGGGGAGCGATACACAGCAGGTGTTGGTCAGGTGGAGAGCTCTGATGAGACAAGGCGAGAGATCGTTCACCAGCTATGCATTCGACCTATGGCCCACAGTGAGCTGGTCAAAGCCCTACCTGAGAATGTAAGTCAACCGTCAATGCTTCACCTTTACCAAAAAGATCATAAGTAATTACTTTGGCTTTGATATCTCACAAAAAAAAAACATTACGCAAATACAGGTGAAATAGGCAAGTTTCTAGATGCAACAACATTGTAAAAATGTGAGTGGTGTTAACCGGCCTATTCCATTAATTGCATAAAGCAATTCATTTCTGATAACATTTGTATTAAAAACACTGCCATCAAGGAACCATTATTCAATTCTGTACAATTCCTATCCCTAATCATGGTCTTTATTAAGCAGAGAATAGCTTTACTATAGATCACTGTGCTGACTTAACTACTTACAAATACACGATAGTCAGATAATAAGTGTGATGCATTTATGCATTTAATAAGATTGTATCTTGTTCCTGTTGATTAAAGCAGGACAGATGAGCAGAACAGTATTTTTTGTATTTGACTGCCACCTAGTGGTATTTTATGCCAGTTAATTTTACACACTCTTCTGTCTTCACACAGGAGAATAAAGAAACTGGCATGGAAAGGGTCATCGACAGTGTGTCTTTGTTCAAGTGAGTGTCCTGAATAAGAGTGTGGTCCAAAGAGTTGAATTGGTCTGTGTGTAATACTGTGTGAATTGTGTTGTATAGGAAGCCTGGTGTGACTGGTAGAGGACTTTATAAACTCAGGCCAGAGTGTGCCAAGATGTTCAACCTTTACTTCTACCATTACTCCAGAGCTGACCAGTCTAAGGTAACGCTGCATGATCAAAATTGAAACTCGCATAGAACAACTGTTGAAAATTAGGGCTGCACGATAAATCACATGTGGTTTATGCACAAAAAAATCGCGTGAATATGAACGGGGTTTTGCGCAGCTCGTCGGTGAACAACGGCTCTGTGTAGTTAATGCTGCTCAATGTGAAAGCACGCACGTGACGGAGATTTACCGCTGATTACAGAACCGGCTTTACTGAGAAGATGCGCGTTAAATATCACATGCGATTTATCGTGCAGCCCTATTGAAAATCCATGTTAATTTGTTTTCTCTCGTGTCGTCCTTCAGGCTGAAGAGGCTCAGAGAAGGATAAAGAGGCAAAATGGGGAAGATTCAGGTACTTTATATATACATACATTCAGTATCTCATTGACGTGAGTACACCCCTCACATTTTTGTAAGTATTTTATTATGTCTTTTCATGTCACAACACTGAAGAAATTACACTTTGCTACAATGTAAAGTAGTGAGTGTACAGCTTGTATAACAGTGTAAATTTGCTGTCCCCTCAAAATAACTCAACACAGCCATTAATGTCTAAACCGCTGGCCACAAAAGTGAGTACACCCCTAAGTGAAAATGTCCAAATTGGGCCCAATTAGCCGTTTTCTTTCCCCGGTGTCATGTGACTCATTAGTGTTACAAGGTCTCAGGTGTGAATGGGAATCAGGTGTGTTAAATTTGGTGTCATCGCTCTCACTCTCTCATACTGTCACTGGAAGTTCAACATGGCACCTCATGGCAAAGAACTCTCTGAGGATCTGAAAAAAAGAATCGTTGCTCTACATAAAGATGGCGTAGGCTATAAGAAGATTGCCAAGACCCTGAAACTGAGCTGCAGCACCGTGGCCAAGACCATACAGCGGTTTAACAGGACAGGTTCCTCTCAGAACAGACCTCGTCATGGTCGACCAAATAAGTTGAGTGTACGTGCTCAGCGTCATATCCAGAGGTTGTGTTT